AATCATGTTGGTAATGTCGGTGGCTCACACTATCTGGCAATGAAGAAATGTGATGATCTCTTACAAACAAAACAGCACATTGATGTTGCTTTCCGTGATGTGAGTGAATCTGCTAAGAAGGACTATTTTACTCGTTTGAATGGGTCTATTGATGTTGCTAGAATATTGGTGAAGCAAGGATTGTCGTTTTGGGGCCATGACGAGTCAAAGAAGTCCTTAAATAAAGGGAACTTCAGGGAATTTCGTAATTTTGTAGAGGAGCAAAATCCGACCTTAAGAAAGGCAGTAGATAAAAAGAATTCAGATAACAGCCTTTTGATTGCTCCTGAAATACAAAAGGATATTGTGCATTGTTTTGCAAAGGAAGTGCTACACTCTATTCTAGAAGAAATTGGGGATGATGTTTTTTGCTTGCTAGTTGATGAGTTAAGAGATGTTTCTTGGAAAGAACAAATGGCAGTGGTCTTAAGATATGTAGATAAATGTGGAATTGTTAAAGAGAGATTTGTTGGTCTTGTTCATGTGAAAGAAACAAATTCTGCAAGTCTCAAGTCTGCTATTGATGCATTATTTGCTGATCTTAAGTTAAGCCTAAAGCAAGTTAGAGGCCAAGGATATGATGGTGCTAGCAATATGTGAGGTGAGTTCAACGGCTTGCAATCATTGATCATGAAAGAAAATAGTTCAGCTTATTATGTTCACTGTTTTGCTCACCAACTTCAATTAGTCCTTGTGGCCATTGCGAGAAAAGCATAAAGGGGTTAGTGAATTTTTTACTATGATTTCTATGTTATTGAATGTGGTGGGTGGATCATCTAAGAGAAGGGACATGATTAGAGATATTAATCTTGAAGAAATGAGTAAAGCATTAGGTTGCGGGCAACTTCAGACTGGGACAGGGTTAAATCAAGAGCAAAGTCTTCAAAGACCTGGAGATACTCGTTGGAGTTCCCATTATAAATCTCTTAAAAGTTTGGTTGACATGTTTCCTACAATAGTCAAGGTACTAGAAATTGTGGAAAAAGATAATAAGGATTGGAAAATTAGAGATCAAGCATCAAACCTTCTACGATACTTCCAGTCTTTTGACTTTGTCTTCTATTTGCATCTCATGTTGACTATATTAGGAATCACAAATACCTTATCATTAGCATTGCAACAGAAGGACTAGGACGAGCACCGAGTGTCGACTATGGCCTGCGGGGGAGGCGGGGAGTAGGGGCATGTTTGACTGCTGGCCCGTCGTCCCGGCCAAACCCGTGAGGTACAACACCGGCTGTTTGATTTCCTCGGGCCACCTACGAGCTTGGCCAGCTTGATGCAAAACACGCTCTCTCTCCTGGCTCCGGGAAACGCAATCCATCTCCATTTTTTCACAGGCAGGGTGAAGCATTGAAGCACAATTTCACGTCACCTCTCATCGCCCCCGTGTCTCTCACCCACCCTCCCTTCTTCTCTGTTGTCGCGTGCCGCCGTTACCACTCTGGCCACCGCCGCCGCGCCGAGCCAACCACGTGCGGGCATGGTGCCACCGCCGCCATGGCGAGCGAGGACAAGGAGTCAGGCCAGGCGGGGAAGAGGCAGATCTGGGAGGTGCATGAGGATCCCTCGCCGGAGGAGGTCGCAGCGATATAGTGAAGCTTGTCAATGAGGTTGTCGAGGTCCTCATCGGAGATGAGGGAGTCGAGGTCCTTGTTGGGTAACTCATACTTGAGCGTGAACGGGCGGCCGCCAGCAGCGACCACAAGAGGTGCGCTTGGATGTTGGCGAGCGACACGTGCCGGTCCATGACCACGATTTGGGTCTCGTGGTACCCGAGCCTAGGCCCGGGGCCCCTACGCCACCGTCGGACATCGCCAATGGCAGCAGCTCCATGAGGGAAACAAACGAGATGGAGAAGCCTGCCCTTATTAGCAGCTCATGCCCACCAACTGCTCGATGAAATGCTAATGAGGAGCATTCAGAGGAGCTCTGGTGGTAAGGCTACCATATTCTTGTGCAAGGTAGCCATACTATTTCTGTACAGGCAAACAAACACATTCTCACTTGAGCTCGGCTCTACAAAGGAACATGCGATCAAACATAGTCACCTGTACCATTTGGACCAGACTCTGGCTGGTCATAGCCAGGCCAGCCGGCCAAGCTGGTCAGATGAAGGAAATCAAACACACCCTAGGCGACTGGGGTGGCCGGGTGGGTGGATATGGTCATGTGGAAAGTGGAATATTAGGGTTTTCTATGGGCCAGGCTAATTAAATGGGCCTCTTTATATGCTGTCTGAGGCATGATGTGTATATTTTTTTTAAAAATTGTGTGTACCCGATAGATACCCACGGGCGAAGACATGTACCCGTACCCTACCAGCATATTTGCGGGTACCTGCCCCACATGTACCCGCGCGCGAGATTATTTCCTACCTGTACCCATGCCTATCGGGTCCTATACCATCCATACTCAAGAGAGAGGTGAGGTGAGAGCTGAGGAGAAGCTGACCTGTCAATGCCTCCTCTAGTTAGTATCTCGACAGATGCAACTACTCCTTTAGTAATATCTAACTATGATTTTATCTAAAAAGGTACTACTCTGATAACTTTGATTTATTTATTTATAACTTTGATTTATTTATTTAATTTACTCCTTACTAGCTTTACTTTACTTATGGGATATCTGCTCACATTAAGTGCTCTAGTTTTAACGTTGAATTAGAGTAGCTATCATTGGTGTCGATGTGGTGTCTAGACTATACCTGAGGTTGCGCCCAACACCAGGATATAGTTGTGGTAGCTAGTCCTAGGGGTGATAGTCCTATTAGGTTGATGTAATGCACCACGTTTGGATTGATGTAACGTAGAGCTTTTTATCAACCTTCCTTTGACCTTGTTTTCTCACCCCACTGAGGGTCGAAAACATATCGCTGCTTGGAAGAAAGTAAATTTGAGTAAACCCACAAAAATCTTAGGAAAATCTACCCTACCCACAAAAACATTTATTGATTCTTCTATCTTTATTGACAAACTTGATACTTGATTAGTACACTCCTCGTTCTCTAAAAAGTCAATATCTTAGAATACTCCCAGGTGAAATCTACAATGATATTCCATGCGCTTGCGGATCTTTTTGCATTAACAAATACTAATATTTAGGTCAGGTCATACTCGATCAAGAACTCGATGAAACTCTCCTTTGGTTGCTCAAGTATCAAGGGCTATGAGGATATCATAATCGACACATGCAACCGTGCTTTCTCAACAAAAATATGCACAAGCTCTCCCACCATGCGAGGGCCCATCACCAAATGACATGACACAGCACTAGACCGTACATAAATCTCAAATTCACATTTCACCCCATACTTGACATCAAACAAGCACTCGGGGCATAAGTAGTACAGACTCCTTATTCATCACTTGACTAGTAGGACACCCTGTCTGAACTTTGTGTCTCACCAAGATCACTAGTCGGTGGTACAAAATCCCGACAAGTGCCTCATCCTTTTTTATTTAATATATCCACTAAACATAGGATACACTAGTACAGGATCTTTAGGACGGCTACAAGACAGCTGGGTATTTTAGTGGTGGCTCAAAAACGAGTTGCTCCTGCAAAACGTTTTTCTCCGAAATCACAAATCTAGGCTTTAAACAATAAAAAAAAGTTTTTATTCTGAAGACACCCCTACAGAGCAGCCACATGCACGTGTCGTCATAAGTCGTGTGATTTTTCACGTGAAAAACACATGGCATGGCTGCGGGACTCAACCTCGTCATCTTAGCCCTTGCGTGCTCCTCTCTTTTGACTACTCCATCCATAAGACACGTGTCCAATCGGGACATTCGTCTTTCTCATTTTTTCTTCATCGGGTTTTAAAATGAGTGTTTGGAGTCCTAAACTAATTCAAATGATAAAGTTGTCAACTACAAAATTTTAGAACTTTCGGAGATTTACAACTTTGGTTTTGGTCATTTCTATATCCTAGGTCATTTGAAGAATTTGAATTTCAAAAGGGAGAAATTCAAACGTAATTTTCCTTGGATAGATGATTTCAAATAAAAAAAGTTGTCAGTTGCAAAGGTTTGTATCTTTTTGAGATCTACAACTTTCATTTTGGTCATTTCTCTATTCAAAGTCATTTGAAGAATTTGAATTTCAAATATGAGAAGTTCAAACGTAATTTTCCTTGAATAGATAAATTTAAATGAAAAAGTTATCAACTACAAGTTATATAACTTTTCGAGAACTACGACATTTGTTTTGGTCGTTCTCGATCAAAGATCGTTTAAAAATTCTAATTTCAATACATAATTTTACTATTCGGCGCCTATTTTTAGACGTGATTGTAGATCCAGATGTCTCTTGAAATCAACTTTTAAGGGTGGAAGGATATAGAGCTGCCCCTATAAATGTATATCTAAAGATGGCTTGTTTTGGGAACCATTTTTAGAAGCGATTTTAGGTCGAGCTGTCCATAAAAAAAGAGGCGTCCCTACAAATGTTTTTTAAGTAGTGATAAGAATTTTAAAACTACAAAAAATACCTCTTAATTTTTAAAAATTTCAATAAAAGTCTTAGAGATAGATTGGAACACGGTAAATCTCAATAAAAATATGTAAAGCTCAAAAAACATCTGCAGAAGCTTCCAAAGATGGATTTAGTTTGAAAAATAGGCCAGAAAACCTGAAAATTTTCTATAACATTATAAGCGAACACATTTTGAAAACTTTTTATAACAAAAACACAAGATATGAATAGTATGAATGTATGAAACCTAATGTAAAAAGAAGGTCAAATCCTAACTACCAGAAAAAACAGTTTTCAATTATATATATACTACCAGAATATAAATATATATATATATATATATATATATATATATATATATATATATATATATATATATATATATATATATATATATATATATATATATATATACACACACAATGATTCTCCAAATAGAGAAACTTATCAATATTGCACCCGCTAATCAGTTAATTTTTCTCTCATGCCAATAGCTTCTCTCGTGCTGAGTTTAACTCTTTGGCAACTTCTGTTATACTGATGCGTTCATTTGGTGACTCTTTGCAGCACATGAGTGCACATTGTGTCACCAAAAGTAAGCATTCATAAATTTTTCCTGGCGCATAGGCATTGTCTTCAGTCTCTATTTCTCCATTTGTCAGAATCAGTTTGTGATCAACTATTTCCATTATTTTATCGGGAAAAGACATCTCAACTAGCCTGAGTAGGTTCAATCCGTCTGTGAATCTTTCATCAGTGGGACTCACTCCGGTAAACATTTCAAGCAGCAGAATGCCATAGCTATACACGTCTCCTTGTGTTGATGCTTGACCCCCCATGCCATACTCTGACAACGAAAATAATTAGTCAGAGATCGCAAGATATCAATGGCAGAGTTATAGCTTCAAATGATCACATAATTTAACATAAATATAATCTAATTCAGTTTTCAGGGAAAAGGTGGACCGAATAAAAGATAGAAAGGGAATGAAAGGTATACTATGTTGTCCACTTTCCTGGAAATGAAAAAGAACTCATAAACTACAGACATTCCAGAATAAATAAGGACCGGATAAAATTGTAAAGGGTAAATAAGTTGATCTATTTTTCTTAAGAACAACTGAGAAAGGATGATACTGAGGAAACAACGTATATTAGTAGAGAAGGCTGTACCTGGAGGAATGTAGCCAATGGTACCGTTGATGCCCATGCTTGTTGCTGACTGAGAAGACATCATACCTTCTTGAACCAAAAATTTTGCTAATCCAAAATCACCAACATGTGCAGTCATTTCCTCATCCAAAAGGACATTACTAGGCTTCAAATCACAGTGGACAATTGGCACAGTTCCGTGGTGGTGGAGGTAGTCTAGTGCTGTGGCAACTTCAATAGCTATGTCCATCCTCTTGATTAGCCTCAGAGCTTCCAATGATCTATTATCAGTACATGCTCTAGTATGTAACCATGTCTCCAAACTACCATTTGGCATGAACTCGAAAATTAGAGCCTTGAAATCGTTACCATTGTGATCTGTACTAGAGCATGAACTGAGGACTTTAACAAGGTTACGGTGGCGAATATTTCTCAATGCTTCACATTCTCTGAAGAATGATTCAGTAGCACCATGTTGTTCTAGATCTATTACCTTTGTGGCAACAATTATTGGCTGATTCTCAAAGGTCATGGTGGCTTTGTACACAGTTCCGAATGTGCCTTTTCCAATCAGGTTAACCGAGGAGAAACCCTCGGTTGCCTTGAATATGTCATTGTACGACACCTTCTTATGCTCAAATTTCAAGTTCATAATGGAGGCTGGATTCTTATTTGGCCTTCTACGGTATCGAATAGCAAAGAACAATATGGCTGTGCATAGGCATGCTAATGCAGCAGCTATACAGATTATTGCAATGATTCTCCTGGGATGTTGTTTTTGTGTTTGGATATGTGCAACACATCCAGGTAGATGCATTTGTGGTGGTCCACCACAAATATTGGGATTACCTCTTACATCCACTGCAGTAATGTTTTTGAACACTCCTCCTATGGGTAGTTTCCCCTCGAAATTGTTAAAAGAAATATCCAGATGTTGGAGCTCCATCTGATCGATGAATTGTGGCACTGGACCAGAAAAATTGTTATGGGACAGATTAAGGTCCAGCAGTGCTTTCATGTTGCTGAAGGATGAAGGGAAAGAACCCTGAAACATGTTTCTGTCAAGATAGAGTGTCTGTAATATCTGGCACCCATCGATGGTGCTTGGAATGTCACCGAATAATTTGTTATTTGATAAGATAATCTTTTGTACATTGTTCATCTTGCCTATTTCTAGCGGCAGTGGACCACTAAGATGGTTGTGTGACAAGTCCATGGCTAGAGAAAGGGAGGGAAGCATAATTTCCTTTGGAATATTTCCTAAAAAATTGTTAGTTGACAGGTTGATTGATTCTAAGGCTTGCATCGAACTTAGCTCCTGTGGTATACTCCCTACAAGTTCATTGTTTTGGAGGAAGAGACGGGTCATCTTGGTAAGGTTGCCAAAAGTCGGTGGAATTTCTCCTGAAATGGTGTTATTTGCTAGATCTATCATTTCAAGTCTCCAAAGTCTGCCAATTTCTTGTGGGATAGTGCCTCTAAGTTGCATGTTGGACAGCTGAATTCTTGTCAGGCCAGTTAGTTTCCCAATATCAGCAGGGATGTTACCAGAGATAGGATTAGTTTGCAAACTGAAAAAGAAAAGATCGCTTGAAAGATTGCCTACGGAACTGGGTATAAATCCTTGGAGTTGATTATCTCCAAGGTCCAATACTTGTAAACCAGTACAATTTGTTAATGCATCCATAAAATTATTCCATTGCCTAGGCGCAGTGGCCTCTAGTAAATTTGATGCAGACGCAAAAGTCTCAAGGTTTTGTAAATTTCCTATGCTGGAAGGCATTGGACCTGTGAACTTGTTATACGCAACTGCAATCATATATAACTCCGAACAATTGGATAAGGAATTCGGGATTGGTCCTTGTAGTTGATTTGCAAATACTACAAGTGCCAACAAGTTTGGGAAATTAGCGCCGATATCCGAAGGAAGATTTCCACTGAACTGGTTGTAAGCTAATTGGAAGACCTGCATGGATGAAATATTGTACAAGGAACTTGGTATCTCACCTGAAATACGATTTTCATTAAGGCAAATGGTTTCGAGGACTTCGAGCTGGCCGAGAGAATCTGGGATAGTGCCAGTTAAATTATTGACATCTAGACGAAACAGTAGGAGCCTAGTTAGATTACCAAGGCTTGGTGGGATGTTACCCATGAGGTTATTAGAGTTCAGTAATAGGTAAACAAGTTCTTTGCACAAGCCAAGGCTGTTAGGGATGGTGCCTTGGAGATTATTTCGCCTCAAATTTAGGTCCTGTAGCCTGGTGCAGTTTCCGAGAGTTGATGGTATATTACCACCAAGGGAATTCACAGACAGATTCATGTTGCGCAATCTGCTCAATTGCCCTAGCTCCTCTGGGATGATTCCCGTAAAGTGGTTGTCAGAGAGCCTCAACTCCTGAAGAAAGGAGAGGTTCGAGAGAGATGGGGATATCTGACCTGAAAGACGGCTGGAGCTTAGGACAAGAGCAGTGACCCTATCAGAATGGCGGCCGCCACACTTGATCCCAGGCCAGAGACAGTGGTGCACTGAACCATTCCATGACGACAATATTCCAAGTGGGTCGCTTGATATGAGGGACTTGAAGGATAGAAGTGCCAAAAAATCAGTTTTGGCTGTGGTAAATGGTTTGGAAAGACGAACTGAGCAAAAGGAGCTTAAAAGGAGGAGTTGAAGGGTGAGAAAGAAGCGAGAACTTCCCATTGTTTTGAGTTTGGTGCTAGGAGCGAATACTTGCAAGGCCGCAGGGTCATTCACTCGTATATATACTCAGCGAAAGCTAGTTTTTATTTCTTTACTAATTAATTATGATGAAGAATTTGGTGGTCTTCCTATCAAGTGACTCAAACTTTTGTCTGCTTCTAATAATTCATACTGTTAGTGAACTGCTCCTTTGTGATAGACGTGACACGCCAGTGGACTGCTCCTTTTTTTTAGATTAGTGGACTGTTCCTTTGTCACGCCATCTACTAGCAGTATTGACACGGCATTAGTTTGTCATGCCGTCCACTGTCACATGCATTTAATAAAGTGTAAGATTCATTGAGTTCTTGTCACACTCGTTTGTGAAAGAGTAGAATAAGAAAGCTAGTTAATCTTAAACCCATTGATGAAAGAACAAAAAGGACAACAACTATGATTACGGAATAAAAGAGGGTTTGGGGATAGGGACTTGAACCCTCATGACTTAGAATGTCGACAGGTTTTCCTTTTACTAGAAATTCCATTGTTGTCAGCATTGACATGTAGAATGGGACTCTCTCTTTATCCTTATCTGATTAATCCACTTTCTAAAATATCTCGAAAACAATGAATTGAAGGATTTGATTACTCAATGTTCGATTGGAATAGATTCATAATAATTCTAAAAAAAATTATGAATTTCCTATTTCATAATCATTCCTAATTTCATTCTAAAAATAAATAAAGAACCTATATTATAATATGGGTTCTGTGATTAATCACCTCCTTTGGCAATACCATTTTTTAATGGAACTGGCAGGTGCGCTGCCTTTTCATTCAGTAGAGAACAAAGTCTGAATATTTACAGGGTGAAGAAAAGTGCAAAGAATGCAAACAATAAACTGAAATAACAAGCGAAGAGCTACCGGTTGTCCTCGTTTGATAGGCGTTACATCTGTACATCGTTTTTGGCAATACCATCATATCTCACTGGAAATCTTCCTTACAAGCTCACCACACACACACAAGATACAACTGGAAATATCCAACACAGATGCTCTGGTTCCCCAACCCTGATGAGAAGACGTGAACTATGAGTTTGTATCGATAGTTTCACGTAATATCATTATTAGTTGTCTTTATCAATGGGTCGCATGGATGATGTACTGATTTGTTTTAATTAGTTTGATTTCCACTTTTCCATGTTTATTAGTTTTACTTTAAAAAAGTGGTGCATAGTCTTAGAAATTTTGGATCTTACATTTTAATACTTCTGGTCTTTTGCACGAGAAGAGTGCTTACTGTAATTTCTGAGTTGTCCAATACGCATCTCAAATTATAATAAAATTGTAAATACTCCATCCTCCATAATACTAATTTGAAAGCCATCGTTAATTCCTACAGCAATGTATGGTGAATTCTTTTAGTTGCTCCTAAATCTAAATCTATCAATGTATGGTTGATACTTCTGAGCAATCTGTTAGAAATCTAAAATTGATCTTGCAATGCTTTGAGTGACTAACTGGCCTTAAAATTCAATTACCATAAAAGTGAGGCGCTGGCCAGTTTTTGGAGTGTCACGGGAAGAAAAGGAGAATCTGGCATATATGCTTAACTGCTCTTTGTGGGTCCTTCCATGAAGTATTTGGGGATCCCAATTAGTGACATCACCTAGCCATGGGGGCCTTTGCTCCTGTGACTCAGAAAATGGTCAAGAGACTTGATGCTTGGAAGGGCAAATTCCTAACTTCTGGTGGGAGACAGATTTTGACCAACTCGTGCTTAAGTAGTATACCTTTATATTGTATGAGCTTCTATCTTCTTCAGGATGGGATCCACAAGAAAATTGACAGCATTAGAGCTAAATTCCTTTGGCAAGGTGCTGAAGAAAAATTTAGATACCACATGGCTAGGTGGGAAATGGTTAGCGGACCCAAAGACCAGGGTGGCTTGGGAATTATAAACACAAAGATAATGAATGAATGCCTACTAGTTAAGTGGATTTGGAAAAAAATTCAAGAACCTGATGAGCTATGGTTCAAAATTCTTGAAGCTAAATATCTGGATGAAGGAGGCTTTTTGTGTGTGTGTGTGTGTGGGGGGGGGGGGGGTTTCTAGTTCTGGAAAGGGATACACAAGGTCAGGCACCTGTTCAAATGAGGAGCTGTGTACAGAGTGGGAAATGGCAAATATTGCATGTTTTGGGAAGACCGCTGGTTTCAGTAGGTTCCTCTGAATATTTCATATGAGAATGTCTTCAAGATGGTTGCCTTCCTGTTCAGTGGCAGATTGCTCGGAGGAGGGATCCTGGGTGATGGATTTTGAAAGGAGCCTCTCTAGGCAGGAGTTTGACAGCTGGCTGGACCTATTAGATAGTCTTAAGGACATATCTTTAACAGGTAACAAAGTGTTGACAACCAAAATTGTTCATTGTGCGAAGATCAGAACTTCTGACCCCCTATCTTCTGACTTTCGCATAGGAGTTTTGGCTTTATGCTGAAATCAGAACTTCTGACCCTCTACCAGAACTTCTGACTTTCACATGGGAGTTCTGTCTTTGTGCGAAACTTAGAACTTCTGACCCCCTATAAGAACTTCTGATTCTCGCCTGGAGGTGCTAGCTTTGCACGAAAATCAGAACTTCTGACCCCTGTCAGAACTTCTAATTTTCGCAGTCCGAATCAGGGAGAGTCCAAACTCGATCTCAACTATTCCAAACTCATGGGAAACTTGAAAAATAAGTCTTGGAGAGGTTTCCTACTGAAATAAGACCAACCCCCTCTATATATATGAGAGAATCATGGGCGATTGAGTTCCCATCTATCCAATCGACACAAAAACACAACAAATCAATCTACTATCTCTTTTTACCCTCTCTTCCCCTCTACCTGTTCTCCTCGTTCTTCGTTGGTGCTACATGGCTGGAGGATCAACTGATGAGGACATCAACACCAACGATACATCCACACCGACACAAGTACCAGTTTCTGGTCCTATTACTCGCGCCCGTGCTCGTCAACTTAATCATCAAGTAAGTTCACTCTTGAGTTCCTGTCCATCATATTTAGACTATGGAGACGCGTGCACTCTTGTTTTTGTTAGGAACCAGAGAGAGGACCGAAAGGGAAAAGGATTCGCGCAGGCTGGATTCGGACTCCAGGACAGCTCCAACTTGTGATGCTCACCACGGTCGCATACGGACTCGGATTGGGGCGTTCAAGTACTTCATGGAATCCTTATGAAGTCTATTTTCACATGGATCTGGAATCAAGTCCATATCTGTTCTGCCGCATTGACCGAATTACTACCGAGAGGTTTTCTGTCTAAATGTGTTGCGTCGCCTTAGTTTGGCCCAACGGGCCGTGTATCAAGTCGGGTCCATTAGGGACGCGTCATAGGGTTGGAGCACGACCCCAACACCCTGGTGGTCGTCCTTCCACCTTTATATACCCCTTAGCCACCACCAAGAACAGTTGGGTTTTGTTTAGATCAAGTTTAGCTCTCGCTACTTGCTTGTAAGCACGCGTGCTGGATCAGCCGCCTGTCTTCTTGTCTCCAGAACCCCACCTTATTTGAGATTGAGTTTGAAAACCTTCGTCTTCATATAGTAAATTCAGTACTTGTTATACTTGTTCTTGCTAGTTCTTCGATTGCTTGCAGGATGAGTGCCCTAGTGGCTGGGTGACGTGCTCCACAAGATCGCGGTTGCCATTGGAGGTGGTGTATCGGTTGCTAAGGCGCAGCTTAGAAGGCTGTAGTTGGGCCGTGAACGTCGTCTCCATCCACCAATCGAGATATCCCACGCCCTCTCATCGAAAGTTCAGGATTAAACCCTAGCGGGTTCATGCCAGTTGCTAATCAGAGCAAGGTTTATCGGAAAGAGACTTCGAATCATTCGCTGTTTTTATTTTTCCTATAGTCCAGAAAAGCCAAAAAAGTAGATTAGTTAACCCACAATCCTATAAACCCTTTGAGCCTTTGCTAGCACTGCTTAGTTAGGGCTTGTTGAGTTTTTGGTTGCATCGGTTGTGTTGAGTTGCTGGTCTTAGTGTCTATTCCTTTAGAGTTTTGAGTTCTATCATGTTTTGGTCACCACGAGATCCACCATCACCATATACATCTTTGCTTCGTTTTTGCCACCACGGATCCATATGATGTCCGATTTGAGAGTTTAAATACAATCTGGAAAGATAAAATTGTCTTCTTTTCAATGCATCTGACCTTTAAGAAAAATTCGTTCTGAGTGCTCCACAATCTTCCTAGAGATTTCCACATCTGCTGTAATAACAAGAGTTATTAAATCTGAATTAGAAGGGGCTGTGTGCAATAACCTTATTGTTTGGGTTGTCATAGTACCAAACAAAATATTTAGGGCTCTGCAAAAAAAAAGAAAAAAAAGAAAAAAAGACAAGAAAAGGAACAGGTGTTGTTGCGGCACCGATACACTTCATTCCACGGTTGCAGACTTGTTGGTTGCCGTCCCCTCCTATTGAGCAAGGTAAGAATTGGTAAGAGCTTGTGTAACGGGTTGAGAGTGAGCGTCTTGCTGTAGCTATATCCTAATAGCTGTAGGGCTTTTATTTCTTCACCTGCTTTCTTGTTGTCCTTGTCTTTTACACCATGTCAGGGTCAGAGGATGTTAACAAGATGCCACAATCTCCTCGCACCAAGGGCATCATTCAACATTTTACAAGGCAAGTGCAGCTGCATACAGAAGGAGTTGATCAAGATTTGCAGGTGACCAATGACAAGATTGGGCAATTGGAGGCCACCCAACTTGCCACCACCACCAAGCTTACAGGATTGGAGGCATCTATTGGTCGTATGGACAGAAGCCTTGCTGCTCTTCTAAAGCGTTTTGATGACTTCCACACGAAAGATAATGAGCAACATAATGAAGACAACAAGGACGAAGAGCGACTCAAAGATAATTATGATGATGATTATACTGCTGATACTGAATATGATGCTCATGACACTCGTGATCGGCGTCGTCTACGCCATAATCGTAGAGGTATGGG